CTCTCTCCCTCTCAGCTTCTCCTCTCCCTCTCTGCTTCTCCTCTCCCTCTCTCTGCATCATGCAGGCCGGCTGCTCTCCCTCTCCCTCTCCCTCTCCCTCTCCCTCTTCCTCTCCCTCTCCTCCTCTCTGCTTCTCCTCGTCTCGCCCTCTCCTCCTCTAGAGGACGCCAGAGGAGGGCTCCTGGGACGTGGAGACGCGAGCGGTGCAATCTCCCGCCCTCGCCCCACTACTACGACGCCGCGTCACCCGCGACAGACGGGGTGGCGACGGTCCCACCCCACTCGTCGAGACCTGTGCCTCGTCCTCCCCTAGGTGAGCTGGTCGGCCGACCACCGCGTCGTCGACGGGGCGATGATGGCCCGCTTCTCCAACGCCTGGATCGGCTACCTCGAGAAGCCCGCGACCATGCTCCTCACCCTCTGAGCCCAGGTCCCCGTCTCCGTGGGAGTCCGTGGGAGGCCGCCGGCGCGGCGCGCAGGGCCGGAGGCCGCGTCTGGGTAGTCCGGTGGCGGGCTCCTGGTCTGGCTGCGGCCGCGCCAAAAGTTTGCGCACCATTTACCGTGTCGGCGGTGCGACGCCGGCGGCCCGGGCGTGAGTGGCTCTCCCCCAGCGTACTGGTTGCGCCGCGTTCTCGCGATCCGCGACACGGTACATCTTTTTTTATGTGAAACGTGCATGTGTTGGTGTAAAGGGAAAAGGCGGCGAATGTGATCGCCCGGTAACGCTCCCCTCCGCGCAGCAAGAGCAGTCTCGACACACAGAGAGCTCGACACTCGAGTCTGACTCTTACTACGGGTTAAGTCGTCTACGCGGCTTTACCTCTACGCTCTACGAGAATGGTTGGGTAGTAGGGCTAGAGGGTCGCTCTACACTTAGCCTCTGCAGCGAGCGAGCGCTCAACTTAGCCCCCGCACGGAGCCGGGCTCAGTCCTGACCTCAGACTTAGACGCTGTATGGTCGGGGGCCATGAACTTAGACGACATAAGGCCAACTCCGGGTAAAACCCGGGTATACCAGCGCTCACTCAAGCCTTCGTGATCCCTTGAAGGATTGGCCCAGGCAGCTTTCGGCAGCCCACGAGCTGGGGACAGCCTCCTCAGGGCACCCCGGGAGGCATTTCGAGAGGCGACACCGCCGAAGTTACCAACCTCTCCTTCCTACGCCGGGAGCTGCCAAACAAAGCACGTTGCACGCACGCTAGGATCGCTCAGCGCGAGGGGTCCCGTACCATGCGGAATCGACCCTATCCAGTGCTCAAGTGCTCAAGCACGAACGAGCATCCATAATAAATAAATAAAACGGACACGCCAAACGCAGTAGTGGCAGAAGGCCGAAAAAGTTGCAGATTTTCTTCCCGGGAGCGACTCAGCGCGCGATCACAGAAGAGACAAACAAATCTCTCTGAGAAGAGAAGCGCCGGCTTCAGCACGAGACATGGCGCCACGCGTCGCTCCAGCCTGCGTCGCTCTCCGCCGGCTTCCCTTCTCGCTCTGGTGGCGACGCGCGCGCCAAGCTCGCCGGCGCAGGCCACCGGTCATCGCGTACGCCGGCCACGCGCCCGCAGGCGGAAGCGCCCGCGTGAGATCGGTCGACATCGGCTCGCTGACGCCCGCATCTTTCTTCGCCCGGTTCGTCCGCACGCGCACGCCGGTGCTCGTGCGCGGGCTGCCGCCCGAGCTCGCTGGTCGTGCGGACCTGGTCGAGCAGCTCCGCGCCGCGGCGGCAGACGAGCCGGTCCAGGTCGAGGAGCGGCGCTGCCCGGAGGGTCGCGCGTTCGGGCGCGGGTGCAAGGTTGCGATGCGCTTTGGCGAGCTCGTCGACCGCATCGAGGGCGGCGAGACCCGCCTGTACCTCACAACGCAGGAGCTGCCT